CTCTGCCCATTTCCTGGTAACTCTGGGGAAGACTGTTTATTTTTAGTGAGCTGGGAGGAGGGTAACAGGAAGGAGGGATCCACATAGAGATTATTTTTATGTTTTCCTCAGGAATATCCTGAATATTCCTCATGTTGCATGAAGACTGTGCTTTAATGACCTTCAGATGTAAAAGTAACTGTATTTTTAATATATATATTTCTTTCTTTTATTTTTTATTTTTTAAAATTTAAATTCAATTAGCCAAGCTGTAGTACATTCCTTGTTTTAGATGTAGCATTCAACAGTCTGTCAGTTGTATATAACACCCTATACTCATTGCATCACGTGCCCTCCTTAATGCCCATCACCCAGTTACACCATCCCCCCCACCTACCTCCCCTCCAACAACCCTCAGTTTGTTTCCTATAGTTAAGAGTCTCTCATGGTTTGTCTGCCTCTCTGATGACTTCCCATTCAGTTTTCCCTCCTTTTCCCTACGGTCCTCTGCCTTGTTTCTTATATTCCACATATGAGTGAAACCATATGATAACTATCTTTCTCTGATTGATTTACTACCTATATTTCTGATTAAAGACAGAGGACAGCTATCCAGGTATGAAGAACTGTGGGGCCAGGAAGGTGAGCCACCTTTGGTGCCACCTTTTCCTTGGGAGTATATGCTGATTCTAGAAGGGGGCTAAGAGTCTAGAAAACTGAATGGCATTTTGGACAACCTTGCAGAGCTGGGGGCAGGAACCATGATTGAGGGCCTATCAGATAGGGAGCCTTATGACCCCCCCCCATTCACTTTGTGTTGGGACCCTAAGGACTGCATCCTAGTAATAATGGCAACCTGAAGTAGACAGATCCTCAAAGGGACTTAAGTTCAGACTTGTATATCTCAAGTTTATGAAGTCAGAATGAAGTGATCACATATGGCTCATACATTCAGGAACCTGGCAGAAGCAAATGGAAATACTTTTTGGAAAAGATGACATGATGACCTCAGCCTAGGCTTAAAATTATTTTTATAAATGATTTTGCAAATACAATACCTAATAAAAAATAACCAGACATTACAAGACAAACATGAAAATGAACAGAAGAAGAAAATCAAATAGCATAGGTATATAGCAGCCTTGGATATTGAAGTCCTCAAGATAAACTTTAAAATAACTATAATTTTACTTTTTATGTTGAAGGACTTAAGAGACAAAAATGAGGCTATTTCAGAAAACCAGAAATGGCAAAATAGACTCCAGTGGATATTCTCAAAATGAAAAATACAGTACGAGAAGTTAAGAGTGCAATGGGGGGGGGTGTTAACAGTAGATTTGTCAGAGCTGAGGAATGAATTACAAATTAGAAGATAGGTTAGAATGCAGAATGAAGCACAGAGAAATTAAAAAGAGGGAGAATAAGTACACAGGAGATCCAAAGAGAAAGCTTGGCATATGGCCAATTGGAGTGCAAAAAAGAGAAACAGAAGTGAATCGGAGCAGAGATCATATTTGTCCAAATACTGACTGAGAACTTTCCAAAATTGATGAAGAACATCAAGGAACAGCGAAGGAAGCCCTGGGAACACTAAGTAGGCAAATAAAAATAAATGTATACTCTGCCACATAACAGTTAAACCGTGGAAAACAAAATCAAATGATCTTTAAAATAAACCAAGATTACCTTCCAAGACGCAGAAAGTAGACTGAGAGCCAATTTCTAAATAGTAATAAAGCTCGCCAGAAGATAATGGAATGTATCTGAGGTGCAGAAACAAAGTACAAGCCAAGTTAGAATTTTATGTTCAGTAGATGTATCCTTCAAGTAATAATGTCTGCATGAATTTAGAGTATCTATTGGATAAAATGGCAATAATATGTAAGTTGGGAAGATAATAAGTAGGAGTGAAGATGTTTTAATGTCCTTAAATAGTCAAGATTGCAAGTTGTGATCTCTCGGCTAAACCCTAAGGGAATGGTAATACAACAGATAACTTCCAAGAAAAAAAAGGGGGGGGATGGGATTATAAAAATAATCTAGTGAGGAAAGGGTGGTCTTTTCATAAGCGGACTTGGGCAAATGGCTGTCCACATGAGAAAAAAAGAAACCCAGAAACTAGACTCCTGCATAAAAATCAGTTCCACTGTAAATGTACTCTAAATGTGAAAGGAGATCGTACTCTAAACATGGAAGGAGGAATAATAATGTTTCTAGAAGATAATTTAGGAGAGCAACTTTGTGAACTCAGGACAGGTAAAGACTTTTTAAACAGGACAACAAAATGCCAGAAAAACCAACCAACCAACCGAACAAAAAACCCAAAACCCAAAAACCAACCAACCAAACAAAAAACCCCCAAAAAATCAACAACAAAAAATCCCCCTCTCCTAAACCCAAACATTAAAACAACCACCACCACCTCCACCTCCACAACAGCAAAAACAGATTGACAAAATTTGACTATATTAAAATTAGAAAGTTCTTTCATTCAAAGACATCATTAAGGGAGTGAAAAGGCCACAGAATGAGAGAAGATATTTGCAACACATATAACCAACAGAGGCTCATATCTAGATATAAAAATTCCTACAATGAATATGAAGAAGAAACAATCTGATAGAAAAATGGACAAGGGACTGGAACAGAGATTGTACAAAAGAGATATCCAAATGGCCAATAAATAAATGAAAAGGCAGTTGGCAACATTAGTCATCAGAATCCCAAGGAGATATCACTACATTAGCTAAAATTAAAATTATAGGTGATACCAAGTGTTGGTAAGGATTTGAAACAATAAAAACTCTCTTATCTTCAGGGTTGGTGGGAATTTGGAAAACCATTTGGTATTATCTACTAAACTTTCTCAGATAGGTGTACCCTGTGATCTAGATATTTCATTCCCAGGTTTATACCCAACAGAAATGCTTATGCACCAAGAGACATATACAAGAATATTCATGGCACAATTATTTGCAGTAGCCCCAAAATGTACATGACTCAAAATGTCCATCAACAGTAAAATGAATAAATGAATTGGCACATTCATACAATGGGACGTGATACAGTAATGAAAGTGAATGTGCTAATACCAAGTGGAAGGGCTCTAGCAAACGTAAATGTTACGTGAAAGAAGCCAGACACAAAGGGAAATATTCTGTGTAATTCCATTTATATAATATTTAAAAACCAGACAAAACTAAAAGATAATGTTTAAGGATATATGCTTAGGTGATGACACTACAAAGAAAAATACAAAAAAAAGTAATTGCTGTATTGTCAGGATAGTTATCTCTGGCATGGGACAGAGCCTATAGTTATTGGAAGGAGGCATGAGGGATATTTTTGTGGTACAGGAAATGTTTTACTTCTTTACCCTCGTGGTGGTCTCTATAATAACTGCTTGAGCTGCACACTCTTTCATTTCTTGCGTGTTTCACTATGTGTGTTATGCTTCATGGATAAAAGCAAGGTAATGGGGCAAATAAACCAAATGATGAACTAGTATCATGCTGACAAGCAGACAGATACAGGTCCTAAATTTTTAACTGAGCCTTCCTATGGTTGGTTCACTCCCTGTTTATAGCCTAAATAATGCATTCACAGGGCTGTAGTGATAAAATGTCAAAATGAGGAAATGGAAATTTGTCCTACTTTTGGATGCCTCTTCACCTTTGGCCAATTTCCAGTTCCACAGAGATCTGAGAGTTTTATAGGCATTCACCATTACAGGTCAGCTTTGATTTAAAGATCTGACTTGAGGGAAGATCTTGAAAAACAAACACTTGTGGGAGAGCTAAGCTTTATATATTTGCAGGACAGGGTTAGGTTTGGTATTATTTGTGGCTGCCACAAACCAAAGGAAATCAGAGCAGACATTTTCAAAAGATGGTCTCTGAAATATTCATTATGTTCAGTCCTGAGAGATACCTGCAAGGATTTTTTTAAAGTTACTGTGACCAAAAGGCAAGGTGGATTTTCTTACTTTGTGCCAATATATCACAAAGCAAATCCTATGTTCTAGCATCTAATTTACAAACCACTGCATTTTTTCCCAATACATATAATATGTATCATTTAGGTGCTGGTAATTGTGATGAAAATAAGATTTTACAAGAAAGAGTGGGGTTCATGAGGTTGTATCCTAGTAAGGAGGGCCGACTGTCCTACTGGAGAGTAGCATCAGCTTCTCTTGGCATATCTAAATTGCTACCATAAATCCAAAGCTCAATATATTTAACTTAAAATTGATAATGGCAGGTGGGTTCTGTTGACACTTTACTGGTGATCTCAGACCTTATAGATGCAAGTGTTATGTAGAGCTTTCATACAATACACATTTGTTGAGCATCTACCCCACACATTTGAATATATCAGTGCTGGAAAATTCAACCTCTATGGACACAATATATAAAAAGAAAGAAACACAGACACACACACTCTGACCATGGATTAAAGGGCTCCCCTGTGCAGGCACTGTGATCTGCTCCGTACTTTACATACGCAGCCCTGATCCTCAAAACGGCCTTGCAAAGATGTTAGAGAAAAGGAAGTTGAAGCTCAGAGAGATTAAGTTACATCCCCATGGCCACAGCACAAAGTGACAATGACTGTGGGAAAGGAAAATACCGTTTTACTCCGGTGCTCCCAGGTATATGACGAATACCTGTTTTTTTTTTTTTTTTTTTTTTCCTGGCTTGTATGACTTAGACTAAGCTGCACATTTGCTTTGAAAGACTCAGTCTATTTGTGTATAAATGATAGGATGTTTACTCTTCTAGATGAAAGTAAAGAGTAAATCTGCACTACCACAAAATGGGGGAATGATTTGTCTGCAACATGCACAGAAAATAAATGTCTCCCAGGCAAGAGTCAAATAGTTCTGTGAAGGGATGAGGCAGGGCCTGCTCCCCATTTTCCTTTGAAATGCTGGCACAGGGGAACTTCAGAGGGAGATAGGCTTCGCGTGAGAACTCTGTGGGTGGTGACCGAAATGCGGTGTGTGTGCGCCATGCTCTTACCTTCTGATTGATTTTCATGGTCTCTTCGGTGTGGTAGAGAAGGAGCTTTTCACCGGAAGAAGTCAGGTTAACGTACACCTGGAGGCAGGGGTACTGAGAGAGCTTCCAGCAGTCCGGACCACAGCTGAAGGAGCAATTAAATGTTTCTGTGATGGACGCATTCACCAAGGTGCATTGAGACTCCTTGGTCCACACGCTACAGAGAAAGGGGAGAGGGAACAAACACAGGCCTGGATACTAAGAACGAGGAAGGTGTCATCAGAGGGGATCATCTGTCGACTCCTTAAACCTGAAGAATCTTTTCCAGATCTATCATACAATCTGTTTGTTAAAGTTTATGCCTTTGAATAGAGTAGCTTTAGGCCAACTGCAATATAAACATGAATAAACTTTGCCTGGCACTTGAAAACGTTTCCAGGGACTTCTGTCAGACATACTATAATATCCAGTGCTTGGTTTAAGTTAGGTTTTGACTTCCTTCTCACATTTGCTGGTAAGCATAAGGCATCTTTTATATCACAACCTGTATTCACCCTGAGTTCTACCTTGTAAGCAGCTTCCTGCCACACACCAGGCCTCACTTGTTATGTCTGCCCAGTTTGTAGGCAGTGAAGGTGTAAGGGAGAAAGGGAAGGGAAGATGGCAAAGGGCTGGGGGCACCTGACATATAACTTGATAGACAGGAGGACTGTTATCTATTTCTTTACAGTCTTTCTAATAAGGGAGAAAAGGTAACTCCACCCTTTTATTGTACCAAAAGCAATCACTTGTGGCATCTGTCTTCACCCTACTTGGTGCTTATATACATTGCCAAAACTCTGTAAGGTGGTATTAACTTTTTTAAAAGGTGAAGGTCAGAGAAATCAGGAAACGGGTAAGGGCACACAGCTAGTAAGTGATGGAAACAGTCATTCTACCCACTCCTGTATTTCTCGAAGACCCAGGCTCATTCCATGGCTTTGTGTTGCCTCCCTTTGAAAACAGTGGCAAAGAGACCCTTCTATGGAGATAATGGGTTCATGTCAGTGCCCTAGGAACCTCTATTAGAAAGATCAAAAAAAGGAAAAAAAACCCTCCAGCTGCCCATTGGTTAGTTTTCACTCCAAAATACTTATAATTTTATGATCAAGGATAATATTTGTGATTAAGAAGTGACACGCTGGCAATCAAAGTTTTACTTCTGGGTATAAGCTGATTACCAGAATGATCAGAAAACAGCACATTTTCTTTGCAGATTAATACCCCCTCCGTTGGCTGGACATGTGTTGACTTCCCTTTTCATGTCCGACTTCATGCCAGGCCAGGATATTAGCCCTTGCCCCCTCCGGTGTGGCAAGTTGTATTTTCCTAGGGCATGGATGGTCAGATTTTGCTTATACAAAGGGGAAAAAAATCTCAGATGGTTCTAAGCAGGTGTGAAGATCTGAAGGCGGTTTGGGGATGAGTGAACACTCAGGCCTGAGGCGTCAGCGCTTTCCCTGAGAAGAAGCACAGCTGAAGACATCAGAGACACAGCGCGGAGCAGCCACAAACGGGGAAGATGATGACTTAATTTTAGCAAATTACTGTATTTCTGCTACATTTTGCTTCTAAAACGAAAGTATTAATTTAGGCGGAGAAATGAATGCCACAAAATCGCTTGATTCTCTTTCAGAGCGAAATCTCAATTTTTCATTGGAAAGGGCCTCGTTTCTTTAAGCTGAGCCACTGTGAGACTTTCCCCATTAGTTACAGCAATGCCAGGCTGCCCTGTGCTCAAAGTGTCCAATTTATGGACAACAGTTAGCTAGAGAGGCTGTGGGGATTTATCATGCGGTTCGCTCAGGGGGAAGTACACTTGCTGTTTCAGTATTTAATGGCCTCCCTATCTATTCAGTAAACCTAGGGCAAATATTAAAATGAAAAGGGTTCAGACTCTGTTATTGTTAAAAGTTGATGCATAGCAGTGTTTCTCAGCCTTGACAGCACATTAGGATCACTGGGGGGAACTTTGAAAGATACTGGTAACTGGGTCCCACTACAGACCATTAAATCTGACCTTCTGGGGGCGATGGTGGGGGTGCTGGGCATCAGTGTTTTTTAAAGTTTCTCAGAAAATATAAATGTGCAGTTGAGAACCACCGAGGTGTGGGGTGATGAAGAGGGGCGTGGGCTAGAAAAGGAACAATGGTGGAGAACAAAGGTGGGAAGAGGCAAGAAGAGGGACTCTGGAATGAGTGGGATGTGGGTTTGAATCTTATCTCTGCCATATGCTATCGTCGTGTGATATCAGGCAAATTATAACTATCTTGAGCCTCAGTTTGGCCATTTTGGCAATGAGTGTATTCATATTGAACTTCCCTTATAAAGTATTCATGAGCATTAAGCAAGTCATGTCTGGAAAGTCCCTGCACATAGTAGGCAGCCTATACACAGAACTACTCTTATCGTTATTATTGGATAACATTATTAAAAATATTACATGCCAGGAACTGTTCAAAGTACTTATTGGGAAAGAAGGTGAGGAAGAGGACCTTGGGGGCAGATAAGCTATGGGAGAGGAAGGAGAAGGGGAAGACCAATGACCGTGTCCCAACAACCCAATGGCATTACCTCTGCATGTATGAGCGCAGGAGTGTGATTCCCAGCAGAAAGTACATCATGATGGAGCAGACCATCATGGCCAGTCCCAGGAGAATGGCCCGGTCCTCTCCTGCCTTCAGTGCTGTGACAGTTTTCCTTTTGTCCAGGAGGTCATGGTCCCTGATTTTTTGGTAAATATTTCTGAGGTTGAAAATAATACAGTCTTACATGAAGTTCACAGTTAATGAGCACACCCCTAAAGAGTGGGTAAGTCTCTGCCCATGCCTTCCTAGGGTAGAGAGGCCTAGAGGAGCCCTCCAAACCTACCTGAATGCAATCAGATCCCAGCATGTGACTGACAGTTGCCTCCCAACACACACGTGTATGCACCAACCTTGAGCAGAAAAAGTCACCCTTCTTTACTTGGGGCCCATGTCTAATTGGAAATACTTTTTCCTTCTCTTAAATCTAAAGAAAGAAAGCACTCCCTTCAACTCTTAAAATACTGCTTTGGATTTGCCATTTAACCTCCAGCTGGTCATCACTGATCTTTTTATACTCTCTGAATACCTAATGGAGCATTAATTCAAATAAATGGCAGTAGACATCAGAAATCTATCAACTTAATACCTTATTTCCCTTCAGTAGTAATAGACAGAAGTTATTTTGGTTAATATTTTTCTCAAGCTTAAGGTTGCTTAGGGCTCTGTTGACTTGAGATTTATAAGCAATGTGAAAATGTGGAGTGGTGACCCAGTCTTTTTTTTTTTATAGGTTTAAACACTTGATTGAGTTTTGAAAATTGCCAGTCAGGGCCAGACTCCATAACTTTGGATAGTTTTATTAGTACTTTTGTTTTTTTATTTTAGAGCAGAAACTTAGGGTAAGAAAGAACATGAGATTGGACCAAACTGGCTCCTGAGTTCAAAACCCGATTTCCCCACTTACTACCTGTGTGATCAATGCAAGCTCCTCAGTCTTTCTGATTCCCAGTTTCCTGCAAAGTGGGAATAATGTTTAATTGCATAGTAATGGTTAAATGAGATGACCTAAGTAAATTATCCAGGAGAATGACTGACATGAAGCATTTAACAAGTGCTCCCATTGGAAAATGGGGTGGGGGGCTATAGCTCCATGACAGGAGCATCAAAATATCCTAAAATTGCTACAATCTTCCAAAGAATTTCTAAACGACAGAATGGCAGGGAAATGAATACTGTAGAAAGCTTTTGAGTGGAAGACTGGATCTGAAACAAGATCTGGAGAAGACAGAAAAGAAGTTGCTGGGGTGCTGGATGCTTGGAGAGATAAGAGAGAAGTGTGGGATTTGGTAAAACAGATGACCAGGGAAGGAGCAGCTCAGGCTCCTTTAGTTTCTATTTTGAGAAGGGAGCTTTGGAGTACAGGGGTTCAGGAGTAGGGGAGTTGCTGGCCTTATTTAGGGCCTGGGAACAGAGAGAAAGACAAATAAAGCTGAAAATGGAGGAAGAAACTCTTATGCCTTTTTTTTTTTTAGCTTTAGGCAAGAAGCCAATATACACAAGAATAACCAGATTTTCCTTTAAAATTTTTATCACTAGTCATTCTTGTTGCTTGGAAAAGAAACCAGAGTAAAATCCAGAAAGGAACTTGGCAGGGGAGAGAAGAGATGCCTGCTATTTGTACAATTGTGTGTATATGTAGGGCTTCTATTTTGCTTTGTGCTCCAGGATGGCCTTACTGATATTTATGGTTTGCATGCCGTTCTGGTTGGCTAGTTCATTCTGGGCTGGCTGTTAGATAGTTTGATTCCCTGTAGAAGTGTGAGAACATGTATGGACTTAATATTTATTTCCAAAAGGTTTTAGGGTATTTATTAATCTAATTATTAGAGTGTAAAATTAACCAATTAGCTTATTGTTATTTAAAGTTCTCTTCATGAGGTAGTTTATACAAATCTACTGTTTCCTTGAAGAGTGGGCCCATTGTAGTAGGAGAATCATAGCTAAATAGAAGCCATCTTTCTGTGGTCATGTTCTTCCTACCTCCCCCCTCTTCTCACTCTCTCTGCTCATTATCTTCAATGCCGGAAGTCCTGAGAGTCCGTATCTTCCACTATTCTCCAGCTCCCAAGCCCAGTTCCTCCAAACTAGCTGCTCTGCTCTGTTTTTGACTTCCATAGACTGGCCACCACCCACCCGCTAAGTTTTTCCATTTGTTTCCTGAGATTTCCTTTGGAAAATGTAAGATTTATATCAAAGCTCTTTAAACTTGACTCCTTATTAACTTGAATTAAAAAAAAATCTGTGCCCATTAGCTGCCAAAGCCAGTAGTAGGCAGGAAGAGACGGGCTCAGTCTCTGAGTGACTTCAAAGAGCTGTTGTAATGTGATGGTACTAGGTTATTACTTATCAGAATGTATTTAATTCTGATGGCTGCCTCTGAGATTTGCATTTCCCGCAGATGGAAGCCAGCAAAGGAAAGCAGCAGTCTCACAGTTCCAGAGGATTAGGCTGTCACTCCACATCACAATTTAAAAACAAATCACAGTTTGGAAATGGTTAACAAATGTTCTTCGTATGCTCTGAAATGGTAGAGAAGAAGGAAAATGATTGGTTTCCACACAGGCCAAAAGGTTATCAAGGAAATGAGAATATTACTCAGCAAAAATAAAGTGGATGAGTAGGGTGGGCCATACCCATGAAATTCATCAATAAATTATTTTTGAATTCATGGATAAATTAAGGAATGAATGATTTGGGAGAACAAAGAGCTCAGTTTAAGTCCACACACTTATCTTGTTTTCTGATAGCCTCTAGGTCCTGGGGATATGGCCCCTGCCCAAGACAGACATGAAAATAAATATCCACATAGGGTAGTGAATTCAATGATGGAGCAATTCACAGAGTGAGTACAAAAGAGGAGTAATTTTCCTCTAGCCTGAGAGAGCAGGACAGGAAGCAATGAGGCATTAAGGTTAGGGAAGGCTTCCTGGAGGTAATGCCTTAAGCAGAATCTTCAAGATTGAATCAAAGTTAACCAAATGAGTCAGGGACTCAAGGGGATTTCAGACAGAAGGAATCACATGAACAAAGGGATGAAGATTTGCAACTGTTTGGTGACCGTCAGAAACTACAGACATTTTCATATTACTGGGATGAGTGTGGGGCCAGGGAAATGGGACAGATGAGTTTGGAAAAGTGGTAGGTCATGAAGGATTTTGGAAGTCATTCTAAAGAGCTGGCTTTTATCCTGTAGTTAACAGAAAGCTGTCAGAGTGACATAATCAGAACTGAGTTTCAGAATGATCACTCTGGCTGCAGTGTGGAGATTAGATTAGAAATGGAGCAAGACAAATCAGAAAGAATTAGGAAATTTTTACTGTAGTGTGGGCAGAGGATGATGAGACCTGGATATAGGATTGAGGTAGGATAGATGGAGAGAAAGGGATATATGGAGAAATATGTGGAGATAAAACTTTAGGGTTTGGTGATTGATAGAATGTAGAGGATGATGAGGAAGTCAGAAGGATGTAGTTTAAATTTATGCCCAAGTACTCGCCTTGGATCACTGGGGACATGGTAGAAAGTGTTAAAACCGGGATTCTTATGTCCTTACTCTTCAGGGTTTCCAAGAAAGGACTTTTGCTGCTCTGGCTAAGAGGGGAGAGGCTGATGGTGCCTTTGTACGTCCTTTCCCTCACAAGCATAGTGTCCTAAGCTCAGGTGGAGGAGTGAATAATTTGATTGGTGAGATGGGCCAGAGCCTGGACAGTCAAGGGGCCAGGTCTATCTTTTGGGTGAGTTTGAATATCATCATTCATGTATGGCACAATTTTTAAAAAATCCTTTTGGACTTGGCTTTGTTCAGGCCTGGTATGCCTTGGCCTTCCTTTCTCCAGGTAGTAAGCCCCAGTTGGGGAAGGCAGTATTCACAGCCTGAGGCTAATGGTTAGTTAGGTGGGCCCTTTCATGCCAAGCTGTCTTCAGTGCTATATTTCAGGCTTTATACTAGGAAAGCTTGTACTTTGGGAGTTACTGTGCCACTACTAACACAGCTGGTATTTTATCTCTCTTTGGTTCTTTGCATTTATTCTCTATGAATCTACCTGAAAGGGGGCAGGGAAAGACATAAGGGAATGAAGGCCAGTATGGTTCAATGAAGTAGAGGTCTCAGGAGGAAAAGTTTGAGGCATGGCTATAAATTTGGTTTTGAATATGGGAGATGTCCAACAATAAGTAAAGAGCATGAATTTGGATTTGTAAGTTTGATGCAGATCTAGCCTTGGTATGTTCCAGAAAAGCAGTATGTTTGAGCTCTGTTGAGGCAGTCCTGGCTTCATGGTGAACTATGAATCAATATGGTGGATATAAGTCAACATTTATAGATGGTGACAGCAACAAATAGTAGATATGTACAGTCTTTACTACATGTACAGGAAGCATTCTGTCCAAATCTTTTTGGTGAATGGGAGTTATTAATAAATGTACAAGCCAAATCCAACAAAAGTCTGATAATAAATCTACAAGGCAAATCCAAGTATAACAAAATATCTTGCATGGAAACGGATTTTCAATTGTCCAATAAAGCTTTTTTTCCCAAGCAAATTTGGCACAATATAATTTCATTTCAAACTCCATATCTGGATAGCTTCTTAAAGTTTGATATTAGGACTCAGTTTATAGTTCATAAACCAATTATTTATGAGATTATGTGATAACAAACATGGCTAGAAAGAGTAAAGTGTGTAAGATTTTTCTCCTTAGTCTTCCCTATTTAAATTCGGATTCCCCTGGTAATTAGCCTGCTGGGAAAAAAATATTCAGATTAAGGCAGGGTAAGGGTTATTTATTAATTCAAGATTCCCCTGGTAGTTAGCCTGCTGGGAAAAAAAAATATTCAAGGTTAAGGCAGGGTAAAAGGTATTTATTAATTCATTTGTTTATTTGTCAATATTTTAAAATCCTCATAAGATGAAACACATCATGCTGAGTTCTGGGGATACAAAATGAGTAAGACATGTCCTAAGGGAGCTGGGTGAGAGACCAATGAAATTGATTTGAGAGAAGAAAAGGGAAGCAAGTCAATGTTCTGGGGCCATTTGCCAAAGGATCAGTTACTGAATAGCTAATTCACCAAGAGCCAATTTGCTGAAGGATCACTTTCCTAAATGAATAGTTTGCCTACTTTATTACATTTACACACTTAACATAGACTTATTT